TTCCCAGCACTCCAGCCTTTCTCTTTATCTCCCTTGCTATGGACCAAACCTTCCAGGGACACGGAGGAGTCGGAACTGGACAGGGATTAGTCTAAGGCTTCCCTTCTTTTTAAAATTATCATTTCCGACTCTTCACATCCTCAAGTCCTCCATGGTCTAATTTCTTCATACCTTGGCTTGGCCCAGGGGACCCCATATTTAGTACCTTTGGAATTCCTCTTGGTTCTCAGACTTTAGGATTTCTGGATGGCTTCTGATTTATAAAAAGCTGCTGTCCCTCCCCCCCCCACCCTCCGTTTGGATACATACCGTGTTGGCTATATTCCCAGTAACACCCAGCCTTTGGACCCTTAGGTTTACCCAACACCCAGATCCATTCTGCAGGAAGTGGGATTATAAAGCAGTGCCAAATGTCAGAGGCCGGCCTGTACAAATATGACACCCCAACCCCTTAAAAACCAACCCTGCGCACCCCTCTGGGATGCTCAGAGGTGGTGTCCTCTGAGCCAGTGACTGGGGCAGTAGATCTGGCGACTTGGGTACCAGCCCTACACATTGTGTGGTTTGCATTTTAAGCCCTCTCCTTACCACCAAGTCCCATGTTGCTCTGTAGCACTTTACATAAGCCCTACAAAGCAGAGAGGGTTTGCCCGGTGTGGGTTGTGTGGGTCAGCCAGGGTATGCTAACAACTTGTCAGTTCTCTTCCTCGTCTCTTTCTCTCTGCCTAGCCCGAAGCAGGTGGAGAGCATTTTAGGCCTAAAAATCTGGGCTGAATACTGAGAACCGAGGACAGAACAGATAGGGAAATCTGAGTTTGAGTTGGCATAGTGACATGTCTTACTGTCTGTGTTAACCCCCATCCCCCTTTTAGCTTTCAAAAATCTAAATAGGATGCCCCCCCCCCCCCCCGCCCACTATAGCCACTATCCTCTATTCTAGGCCAAAAGAGGCAGAAGGGAAATGGGGCGTTGGAATGTATTTAGTCTACATCAGTCTCCTGTCTTCCATGACTCCAAAGTCCCCGATGGAGTGCAGAGGGAGTGATAAAAAAAGAGTATCCTTCTGGCTCTTCAAACTAACTGGTGCTGAAAGGTGGAGAAAGCTGGGCTTATAAATCCGCTCTGCTCCCACCCACCTTCTCTGTCTGCTGCTGGTCAGTCTTTGGCCTAACAAGCAGGGAACAACCCCTTGGAGTCTCTAAGAGGCAGTTAGATTTTCTGGGGCCAAATTTGAACTCACTGAGCTAGCGACCTGGATCTAGAAAGGCTGAGAAGCACTGTTCCCCAGCCACTTCAGCTTCCTGCACAACCTTCCCCAGGCCTTCTTCGGCTCTCCGGCTGTGCCGATTCACCAATTGGTGAACACAAAAATCTCTGTGGGTATCACAGCAGCCCAGTGAAAAAATCTCTGTCTTCCTTCCTTGTTAGTGTCGTGAACGTTTTATTACTTTGCTTTTGTAACCCGCTCTGGCCTAGGCCTGCTTGAATGACCCGGAAGCGTAGCCCAGTGGAATGGTGTCCCCCTCGTGGTGGCT